AGCGCTCGTCGTTTTATTCTAGCGACATTATTGTTTCCAGTTCGTAATTACGGTTATTCCAATTAAGTCAGATATATCGGAATACCATTATTATTATAATATTATCATTGCATGTATCTTAACCACAGCTCAGCTTCGCCAGCCAGATCACTGTCGTATCCGACTGATAGCGCACATTTACGTAGTGCCGTTGGATAACGCCCTTTCTCGTCCAGTGGCCGGTAGTTATCTATATGTGTGGCTGGAGGACTTTGGTGCCTAAATAAAGTCGTGTATGGAACAGCTGTACAGCGTACAGCGATGTAGAATTGACTGTTCATCGATTGTCCTGGGCGTAGAAAGGCCCCAAAAACCTCGAACCCAACAGGAACCAATCTGTGCGATGGGACGCACAGCGCAGCTCCTGCTGTCGGCCAAGTAAAACCTTTACAACGACTAGACGTTAGTTAGGAAGGAGAATTGCCACGGACCTACAAATAGGTTACTTGAGCGTTTGGATTCAAGCTTCATGCGCAGAAAGTCGGGAACAGCATCGTCAACGCGACTAGTTAACCTTGCTTCGCGGCGTCTTCGGTACTTTAAGCTAGCCTACCAACTCTCCTGCTGACAGATAGGCCTTGTACAGGAAGCACAGGCCAAGAAGAGAAGGAATCAAATAGGCTAAATGAAGTTACTGCTTTCTGTATCTATTGTAACCTCACCGATATAGCCTGGGATGGGAAAGGGGTTCTTGCCGCGAGAAAGAAAACCTTTGAAAACACAAGAAAAGTAAGAAGACCCTGGTGCTGTCGATGGCCTGCTGCTGCCGTTTCCGGTGTACCAGAGAAACAGGACGCGAGACACGATCAAGCCGACGGTTAGTCAGAATGAAGTAACGGCCGATATCAATTAGCACCACTACCAGTACGGCGATGTCGGTTAGATCAGTTGCAAGCGCTAAAAAACAATGGGATCACTTCCCCACTCTCCGTTTCAACGCTTTGCGAAGACTCCTTATCAACTGCCCACCTACTTACGTATATCTTGAAAGGGTATATTCATATTGAATTCTAAATCACACAGTGAAAATTATAATGGCAAGTTAACTTTAACAAAGCTAGGCTATTTGTGCAGAGTTTTAGCAGAATCATGAGATAAGATATTGACTTCACATAAAATATGAAAATGATACGGATTATGATTCTGCTGACGTTTCTTAGTCTCACAGTTTTGATTCTACCTTGTAATGCGTGTAATGTGTTAGGCGGCCGGTCACGTTTCACTTCTCTTTATTGAAATCCATCGATATTTATTATTAGATATCTTCAAGTACTGATGAAAAATTATTTGCGTCTTTATAGCTCTCGCATTTCTACACATTGAAAACATGCTAAAAAAAAGTTTTTCTTTCTTATTTTCTATAAGTATATAGATCACTTTTTCCTGCCATTACATTTCATTGACCCGTACTATCGATCTTTAGCGGTCCTTGTTTGTAAATAGCAGGGTACTACCGCACGTTATATAAGATGTATTGCCACGTAGAGGAAAGCAATTACAATGTATTCTATTGCATCAAACGGTCTTTCTATCGGTTGGTGCTCACAGTTACCAGAGCGTCAGCATTAGCAGTAAAAGGTGGCGAAAAAGCAGACATTTGAATACGAGTACTCAGCCCTCTACTAAAAAATTAATGCCACCAGTAGCAGAGTCAGTCTTCTAATATAACCCAACTATGTTCGACTCGTACGAGATAGGCAACGTTATGAAGTATCGGTTTAAGTTGTCCTGTTCAAGTGCCTTCGTCCGCGGTGAACGTCATCAAGGTTAGTTGTTGGCGCCCGGAAGCTCCTGGCCGTGGCATCTAAAGTCCCATCAAGCTCAAGCGGGCTGCCCTCGCAGGCGCCTAGCGCCTTCGTCACGAAAGACAAAGCTTCATAGTAATGTCCTTACTAGGGGCGTATTGCATTATCAGGATCTTATTATCCTTAACAGCTACGAACCCTTCCTTATACTTCCTTTGACCATTTTCTATGAAAAATCAACTGAAGACATTGTTCGACTGTGCATTTTATATCTGACATTTCTGTTCCGTTACTGATAGATAACGACGCTTCCCCGTAGCCCAGAGCTGCAAAACGCCGCTAGTTCACAACGCTATTGTCGTTTTATAGTTCTACAATGTTTGTAACTTTTATGATAAACATGGAAGTTTTTTATAATGATATCTCTCGTTATGGCTCCTTATTTAAGGTTATCCAAATGATGCGGCTATCGATTCTGCAGCAGCTGGTGCTGCAATAGAAACCGGCGCAGCTCGTTCGCCGCATATACCTGCCACATGCTTTTAAAAAGGGTCCCGACCCCGTTGGCCATTTAGCTGATCTCCACACTGTGCAGCCTTGCCGTTATCATTTAAAGCAATCACTACACTCATCTATGAACGTATGGCGCGACGCTGTGCGTGTAGCATCGAGCCGGGCCTGACTGGCCGTCAATCGCCTAGAGAAACATTGTTAGTAATTGGTGTATTGTGACGCACTGCTATAACACCTTTCGTTCTGCATAAACTGGACGCTCCTAATATCCATTGCGGTCTATTAGTCAGACCATCTATATAGTCACTTTTAATATATATACAAGTACGACACATTAGCATTCATTCTGCCTATCCCCTCCTCCTCGCGCCGCTATTTTGTCGTTTATCTGAAATGCCGCGAAAAATTCGAATTTGCTTCTCGCAACGCTCGCGTGCAATAATAATATTAATAATCGGTAGTCGCGACAGCTTTTTTCTTGTGTTATCAGGTATGGTCGTCGCTCCTGTGCATTATCTTACAAGGCGTCAATAAGAAACCGCTACAGATCTGACTATGATTGCGGTGTCATTTTCTCGGCAAAAATCCCACGCCAACTAGTCCCTGTCACCCGCCGAATAGTATCAAGTGGCTATAACTTAAGTTGAATTACACTCGTGCGCGGATGACGTTGTTATCGATAATATTTCCTGTGATTTAATACTTTAAACTAAATAATTGTAATCCGTAACTATTGCCGTACTTAATTTTACTACTAGCCGCTGTGGGAAATGTATATACCTTTGTGCAAGGATCGCGCGATGTATGATGATTTTTTTATTACTGCCTGCCTGCCTATCGGTATTCAAAGCGTGCGTACGAAGTGCGAAGCATCGAATTGTTTTGCAATGAGATATTGTACGGCGCGGTCTTGCTCTGATCGTCGTCTAAGTAGTCGTCTTTATTTCTAGTTGATCAGGCCATTATAAGACTCATCTTCTCTACTGAATCGGATACTTATTGTGTTATTGTGTTGATCATTGCTATCGTTGACGCCCCTTAGACCGGATAGCCATAAGCATAAACAGCCTCCAGCAGTAAACCGTAATGTGTCCGTGTGAGAAATTCGGTGGTGCGAGAGCAGCTAAGTACGCTCTGACCGTTGTTGGTGGCATCAACAAATATAATGTTTAGAGTAACGAGTAGAAGCGAAACGTTAGCGGAACAGAAACATGTATCGCGTTTCCTGACGTAATGGTAAAATGGGCAAAATCGACAGGCTTTCGGCGTTCTGGTTGACCGTCCTCCTTGCCTGCCCGGCTCTTTACCGGCCAGTTCAGGACAGCGGCTGTAGGTCGACGGCGCTAATATACTGTGCATATAGATGTACACATATTAGATAGTGAATTTACTAACACGGTACTAGCGATCCGATACAATTACGAGCTGGATTGTCAGAAAGAAAGGGTAACACGTAAAATTTGTGTCAAACGCAGTCTGACTCGCTTGTGGAGCAGCTTTAGCAGGCCTGTGGCTGCGGTGGCCGACGACAGCTGTGCTTGTTTGATCGTTGATATTACATGCATGACCTACGACAGACAGGAGAGGAACAGAGGACGCCACAATCTTGTTATTAACCTGAAATCGCAGCAATAACCGCGGGAGACGGTTTTTGCCATTTCGGCCAGCAGCTTCTGCTGCAATTGAGACATGCGGCCGGTCGTTCGGTGAAGCGAGACAGCGGAAAGATGGATAGGGATACGGATAAACGGGGGTGTGCCTTGGCCTTCCAGGCGTCCATAATGGTGCTTGCCTATAGATCTTTGCCTGTTTAGACATTTACTAACAGATCCGTTATATGGACTTATGCACAAGTGAGAAACAGACGCAAATGCCTCATGATTTTCCCTTTGATGACTTTAGAGCAGAATGGACAACGGGACATTGTACAATTCATTATTATGACTTGCTAAACATCATCTGACGTTATCCGGTTAAGAAGTCGCTAACAAGTAGCAAGCGGGCGGGCGGGCGGCCGGCTTACCTGTTTCTTCCATAATCCTGTGTTACTCTAACCTAGCCCTGAGCTATGGTGATCTGATCAGAGTTCGAGCAGAAATTCTACGACAGATTCAGCTGTGGCAGCTATCGTCCACAACTGGTAGCCTCCATACGTATCTTATTTTATGTAAAGTCACCAACACGATATGCAGGAAAGTCTAATTGGAAAAGTTATTGATAAATTGCCATTATTAAGTAAAAATCTACGTTGAATAATGGTACGATATTACTACATTTGACATTTTTAACATACAACTACATGGATGCCCAATTTTCTTATGAGAGTCTGCCAATGGACACAGACCTAGGCAATACAAATTCACATTGACAGAGTATTTTACGCGCTGCTTTGTGTCATGCACGCCCTCTTAGCGCCCATATGTTCAAATCAGCTTTTCGCGTTGTAGCGATGCGCGTCCCCGAGTTCCGTTGGACCCAGTCACCCGTCGAATTTCAGCGACCCTCAGCCACCTATATAATGCATACGACTTAGGATTACTCGAACCTAGTCAAGCTCTACCTATATATATATATATATTATATAGGTATATTACACTCGTCCGTATAGAACTAGCAGACAAATAATAATTGGGTTTACCACTAACAATGGCTGCTCAGTTGTATCACTTGGTACGTGATTATGTAGCTTAGAATTTATTTGTTCAAACGACAATAGAGACGATGCCACTGGATAGCGATAACGAAAAAGCCAAATAGACTTTTGAGCCACTGGCGCGCCGCGATCCGTACGTCTGATCATTCGTCTATGAGACTTAGCGCGTGGATTCGGCAACTGGAAAAGCTGTTTAGGCCTTGAGTCTAACCGTCTTATAGCCTGCAGTAATCTTTTTCCTTACCCATACTGTTCTAGTTCAGGAAATGTACTCCATTCAATACCCTCACCCTCATGTGCGGTGACGTCACGCCACCTGGCGGTAGCCCAAGATAGATTCTCACGACAGGCATTTTAGGTCAGCAGTCGAATGGGTTCTACTGAACGCCCGCCTACGAAACGGTTCACCCAATTTGATGAGTCGAGAAGCCAAAGTAGAGCAAGTTAGCTAGCAGCCGGACAAAGACGATCTTAATAGTAGCAGCGAACAACGCGAGCAATAAAGAGGGAATGCGTATCTTTGACGAGGACAGATTCCCAGACAACTAGATAAATGGTTGTCCCTCCTTATCTCCAATGTCGAGCATTCATTCCGCTGAAGTAATAACGTTGAAATCACACCGTTGCTACTGACGCTCTCGTGTTTCGTAGGTCTTGCCGCGCCGGCCTGCACGCAGATAAACTGTCACCGCACGAAAGTAGTGCGAGAACGCCCGTTTTGTAGCTTCCGGTACTTTTTATCGCTGCCGGTACCTTTCATTAAATGAAAATGTGTAGCTCTCGCCCGATTTATGTTCCTGTGTGATAAATGCATGGTACAGAAAAAAATAAGCCTTTTCTGTGCAGTATTGAAACAGCTAGTGAAAAGTGTTCATTTGCTCTGTGTGTCTGAGTATCTGTTCCATCGAGAAACCTTTTCACATTGTAATGAAATTCCGTCTTTCTCGAGTTAGCTGTGGCAGTCGTCGAGCGCAGGAGGAACCGATAGAAATGTTTTGAGTGCTACTCGTTTCATTACCTTCAGCCATCCGTGTCGATTGTTGCGCGATTAATCCACTGCTGCATCCGGTGACCCAACAACACTGTCATACAAAATCCACGGCTCAGTTAATGGCCCGATGTTGTGACGTTTCTACTATGTCGGCTTTTGTTGTTGACGTCCCTCTACCAGACCAAAGGCTGGGCTGTCTCGATGTTTGGGTTCGGCAAGCTGAAAGAAGAAAAGGTTAGCGAGCGTCAAACGGTAACGCGCCAAATGCGACAGTGGCAAACGCTGCCAGTTTATGTGAATACCCAACAATGTGGCTATTTAAGCCCTCTGACGGCTCTGTAATTGCCTCATTCACGGTTCCGACCAGACCAGTGGGTGGTGATACCGCAGATTCAGCTGGAGATGGTGATCAGCACCGTTAACCTCGTCTTCGATCTCTCCAAATCCTCTCTCATACAAAGACAACAATATCTCGGCACACCGTTCTCTGACTATGTGTCAGAACGCGCGTTTATGAAACGCAGAGAGGTCCTGTCGCTGATCGCGAGCCTTGTGCATATTGTCCACCAAGCGAGCTCCCAAGCGTTCGCCGTCACCACATTTATAGGAACAATAGACAGACGAACGGCGGTTATAACGTTAATGGCAAGGGCAGCAAGCGTATAATTGTGCTGTTCCGCAGACCTATTGACTCTACATATTATAAATACATCGCTAAGTCTAGCAACAGAAATCATGTTGTCTTTGGTACTGACTATAATATTGTGCCGTGCTGCGTTATTGCTATGTGCGGCGCTCGTTGACACAGCAGATGCCGCCGCCGCCGCCGCCGCTGCTGCGTCTGCTTCAACGAGTGGAGAGTGCTAACGGCTCCGAAACGGTTGTAAGGCTCGTCGGGTCGTCGAATAGAGATGAGCAGCCGCTGGCTTCACCAACTATCGACATCGAGCAGCAGCAACTGGCTCCTCTCGATGATGGAAGGTAACGGTGCTCTTGTGGCTGATGCTGCCGCCGCCTTGCGTTAGCAGCATTTATTTCGATTTCTGCGCTATGTCTTCGCACCGCGCACCTTTTCTTTCTTGGGCGCCGCTGTGAGCTGCGCCTCCTTCTTTCCGATGTCTCCTGCAGTGCATATGCTAGCATAGCGGTTCCAGCCGTATTAGCCAGCGCTTCTGCCCCTGCTGCGACCGTTGCTGCCACAGCCAGTTCATGTACCTCATCATCGAACGGCGGCGGCGGCGGCGGCAGCAGGAGCAGCAACAACAACAACAAACAGTGATACCTTCGACAACATTAGCCTGTCGATCGAGTGGATCAGTGAAACGGGAGGAACGATAACCGCCGAAATAGGGAGGAAACGGAATTCGTTGCGGCGCTGCATATGATCCAATCCCGTCGGTGCCATGTATCATGCAAAATAACAGAACTGCCGTTACTGGCGTACTAATAAATGTTTCTCTCGATCGTTGATGTTTCCGCGTCACGTTCGCCAGACAGCAGTAGTTACCAGTGACAAAAACACGGAACAAAGTATTACTGGACAGAGTTGTCAATCGACTGTGCTCTCGAAAGGGGATGCTGTCAGAGTACGAGTGTTTGCTGTGTTATTTAATGTGTTAATCAAATCCCCCTTAACGGGGATCGTGTTAGTGGTCGGGACGGATAGTTCGACAATAGGGAGTGCATCCTCATTTGGATACCACGAGTGGATCTTCATAAAGACTGTCATGTGTAGGATGCACTGCACGTCTGCGACTGGAACCCAATAACGGCTTAACCACCGGTAATCGCAACGAATGCAATTTCTGAATCGTAAGAATATGATATACTGTATGACTATAACCGAAGAGGTTCATCCTCGTACAAGGGAAGTTATGGATTATGCCTCGTAGTGTTGTGTGTACGGAGTTCTTCTTTCTTCAATGTGCGCGCGTGCGTCTTTGTGCCGTTTCAGCAACGAGATGGAGCGAAGGTTTGCAAAGTCGCAAACAACGATGCGACGTTCAAAGTCGCTCTTATTCGATTATCTGCACATTGGCGCTCTCATCGAAGAGCCTAAAACACAACAGGCCCGACGGCGGAAATCAATCAGCTCAATGGTGCGCGAACGCCGCGACTTCATTGACGATTATGACTATGTTTACGAATTCAACGTCTATGATGTAGGTCGAGCTTTTTGACTTTATTATTGTTGCTAATAAATATTTCGAATTTGTGGAGCTGTAAAAGTACTCCTCAGACATCCCCACCATAATGGAGAGTCGATTCCCTATGACGGAAGACACAACCTATGATTCCCCCGATGAAGCTTAAGAATAGCCCTATATCAAATCGAACAGCAGAAGTGAATACAAAAATCTGTCTACATGACACATTTGTTTAATTATCTAGCTTTGTCGGGAAGACAATCTGACAGGCGTGAAGCCACCGTGTAGCCACGCTTGTCATCTATTGCGCCACGTAAACATGCGATCTGTGTATGATGCCGCTCTGACGACTCGAGACGAGACGAAACGTAACGACAGTTAGCTATGATAAAATCCTTAGGCGGCTATGGATAAGAAAATATTATCATAGATGCATGCTTTTGCGTCCCCATGGCGAAGCATTTATCCACCTACCCGTTTCGTTACGTGCGCTTGAGCGACGATTTCAAAAGGAGTGAGATGTGTACAGTGGCACGTGCACGTTGCGCGTTTCTTCATTCTACCCGTTCCCTTCTTTTGTCCCAATGAATTGACTGAAAAAATGCGCGAGATCTTAAATACGACAAATTTTACTCGGCATCCATGGTCCGACATGGACGCACGACGCGTCCACAGAAGCAACTCAACTGCGAATCTGTAATTGAAAGTCAGATTATTTAGTGCGTTTGTACACGCTGCTGGAGAGCCTTTCGTGTTTCTGGGGACGAACGGCGCGCAGCGCCCCATTGTACGAAACACGTACATAACCTCCTAGCCTTAATGGACCATATCTAGAAAAGAATTTTACCTAATTATTCTATACGATAGTGTCTAGGATCTAAGCCAAGCTTGTGATCGAGCTCTGCACCAATGTTAAAAAGAGGAATCTTTCGGTAACGAAAAGTACAAGCAGATCTTTCTTGCATGCTGTCTCTATTAATGTCATCGTATCATATCGAAATGTTATAGGGACGGCATGAACGTAAATCATCAGGAAAAAACGAGTTGAGTTGATACGAGGTTGTGTCTATGTTGGACGCGACCTCGCCGCGTCCCGGTATCGATGACGCTCGCCTGCAGCTGACTGCAGATGCATCGTTCTACATATAGCCAATGTCTCTGGCTTCGAAAAAGAAAACCCAGGTTAGGATACGTATATTTGCGCCAATTTATTTTGGTCGGTTACGCGTATCGCTTAATATCTTCGCTATTTGATAGAAAAAAAAAAGCTACTTGCCGCACCAGGGGTGACAGGTGTACAAGTGAGCTCGCCAATAACGTGTGGAATGTTTCATAATGTTTAGACAATATTTTTTTTGGTTTTTTCACAGCTATTAAAAACGATACGAGCTGTTATGTAAAGAGAACTAGAATTGATTGGTCATTTTTTTTTGTCAAACTTCGTCGCATTTTTCCAGTGATTGGAAATATTTTTGCTGTTCCTATGACGATTAGCTAACGCAACGTGTACGAAAAGAGAAGACGTTGGCCTTCTATGAAAAAAGCTGTTCTCCGTGAAAAAACATTAAAGCAATTTTTTATCGTGGCCTAACACTGAGAACGTTGTGATTCTTATTTCGTAGTGATGTTCGAAACTTTTTTTTTTTTATCGCACTTTTATTATCAAATAAATATAAAATTCACTCGGGCCATATCCGCAATGAACGCGTATATGGTCCAAACGAATTATGCATGGGAATGCGTGTTATTGTATCTGACCGTAACGCTACAGGCGGTAATGAACGTCGACCCTTGATATGAAGGGGTTAAAGTACGCTAATGGTAAACAAGAAACTAGATAACTTGACCATTATGTCATACCATCATTTGCCCCCAGATGGATCCTGATTTTTCTTTGCCTCTAAGATGATGCTATACACAGAGGCAATGTTTCGCTCGTCCGAGAAATTCATTGTTGCACCATCATCGTTACTAGCAAACACCCAGTTACTTCCATTTCGCTACTCAGATAGTTACCAATATTTACGATGCTTTACTCGCTTTCAATATCGATCGCGTCAACAGTACGCTTTTCTTTCGACAGCTAAAATGTCCGAATTACGCTGTTCTGCGCCCTTGACATGATGCCCACGTATTCCATGACATCTTCCACTACCCGCGGAAGGCATCTCTCTTGGTGACTTTGTCACCAAGTCACTTTGGTCAGCAATTTGCCACACATGAATATACATAGGCGTAATGCAACTTAAGCGATACGGTTCAGTCCTTTGTTGCATATCTGTGAAAGAGGATCTCTGTGCTGCTAGCAAAATATGATGAACCACACCACGTCTGTAGAACTTTGTAGATGCAAATGGCCATCTGGATTCGAAAACGTCTCCACTCGTTACATTCAATGTCGTTTGTTACCGGCATACAAACATCATAGGGATGGTAGTAGGCTGTCAATCCCCTAGAAAATAAAAAGAACTGGCAGGAAAAACAGTTTAAAACGTATCACTCTTTATACTCTTACTCTCTCTGCTTTGCGCAAATGTTACTGGACAATAATAAGCCAACTCGTGCCATTTATATTTAAAATACTTTCGTCCTTACCTGAGTATCAAGCACGCAAGTTTCAGTATGTTGTTCATACAATTCTCGGGAAAAAATTCTGTTATCACGTAATGTCTCCCATCCTTTGTATGGCGCGCACCGGCACTTTGTACGTCTGCCGAAAGGAACTTGTTAGTTCCCCTTTCCATGCCCACATACAGATACAGATATCTACGTCGTGCGATCGCCTTAAACCGATATATTCAAAAGAAACAAAGGCGCACGGAAGAGAACTTATAGTTGTACAAGTAGCCATGTACAACATAAAAGGATCAATGCTATTATAGCGTACCTTTATTGCAAGGATAATTTTCAATCACAACAGTTTTAAGGTCATTGGAAGGCCCCCTTATTATAGTGTTATCTATATAAGTATATATATATGTGCAGTGTTAAATATATAAGCATCTGTTAGTCGATCCGTCATTGGGTAAGCTATTTCATCTTTTTGCGGGAACGTCTGCGCGGTTAGGTTATAGCTGCGGAATAGATAAGCTGTGGTTAGCTGAATTCAAAGCTAAGACAGTATTTGTCAAAACACTAGCCGCATGCACACTGGTCGGAACGGTAAAATCTTTTAAAAAAAATTTCAAATTTTCTCATTAAAAGAAATAACTACCTTTCCTTATTAGCATATTTATAGATGATCATCTATTCGACCATTAATAAAATCATTAGAGAGGCACACCTTTCAGGACGTATGTTCAGATTAAGTCACATCTTACACATCGACCTCCCGTCGGAACAAAACAGTGGTACTGAGGTTTCCAACAGATCTATAATCAACCCTGTAAGTCTGATGATATCGATAGCGCGGTAAATCAGGCGACCGTATATCAAAGTGAATACGTATACTGTCAATAGCACGGTTCAAGGTGAAGCTCTGGCTAGCGATGATTATTCTCGTCTTTTGGTTGCTCACTATGCCAGCGGAAAGTTACTAACTATAGACCAGTTTCCAGGACGTCACCTCACGATGATAATGTGATAACCTCATGTAGAGTAAAAAGTAGACGCGAGCAATCAACGGCTACAGCCCTAAGAGATGTGCGTTCATATCTATCTTTGACTGACGATTGATTAGCGTAACGTTACCTTCTAAAGCTACTACGTACGTTATGTAAATATTGACTGATCATGCTTTATCGAAAGTTCTAACAACGAAAGCTGAACAGTCGTACGAGGAGAAGCTTATCCTTAATGCGTTCATCTATATATAGAACATTATAAAACAAACTCGTTCCATGATCCTTTCTAGTAGCCGACTGGTTTGTCGTCACTATGTACTTTGAGTCGATGCATGAACCCCGTTACGTTACGCGTATCTACGAATCTGTTATGACCTTAGCCACGTCGCACTATTAGTAATTCTTGTTATCGTTTTTTGTTACGCTGATATTAAGATAAGGGTTTTATCTGTTATACATGACATGGCGTAAGTAGAAGTAAATATCCCATGCTGCTATTCGCCTCTTTCTTTTAGGATTTTATCTATCATGATCGCTAATGATAATTCTCTTTTTTTTTTGGCCGCATCAATCATATGCGTGAAGTCTGACACACTCGTAATTAAATGAGCGCCTAGTAGGGGTTCTTGTTTTTGCAGCGGGGTAAAAGCAATTTCTGGGCTTTACCACCATCTCCACTTCCAGCACTGCAGCGATCATTACCAAAATAAAAAGGTCATCTCTGCCTGCGCGCAATTTACTGGCATAAATACATCCACACACACGGAGGACCGCTGTATATAATAGCGGTAATCGTAGCACTCCAATGAAAAACATGCCTTGATGTATAAGTCGGGTTGTGGTTATACAGATCTCGTACACGTACCGTGCGTACACAAGAAAAGGAAAAAAATTAGAAGGCAGCGTTTGAATACGCTTCCATTTGCCGCCACTGCTGACATCATCACTCTGAACGTAAACCCATTCGACCACATACATTCCTGCATAGAAAATGGCCGCACATTCCATGTACAATATACCCGATACGAGATTACATAAAATCAACAGCCGATATTTGTACAACGACAAACCAGCAGCGTATGCGCCTGCCACCGTTGTACTTTTGTCAGATACCGACGAGTAACGTACCGACAGAGACGCGTCCATTGGGGTCACCATATTCTACAGACGTATGCTAAAATCAAAACGAACGACGTTCGTTCACTTGTCGATGCAATGAAGAAAAGTCAAACGAAAAAACAGACAGCATCGAGGTAAAATTCTGCTTCGTGAGCTACTTTGAATACGCACATGGACACACACTGGGCGCTCACACCGCCATCTCGGAGGCAATGGCGTCCGACTGCCACAGCGGCCGCCGCTGCTTTTCTTGATCATTTTGGGCTTCAGGTATACCGACGTACCTGTACACACTCGTGTGCACGAACCATCGAAGTCTGACGAGTTTCGCTG